CAAACTCCTCGTAGCAGCATGAGAATCATAAGGCCACTCAGCAAGCGCTTCAACTAGTGTAGCCGCGTGTAGTACATGAGGCTAGGATCCACATTGAATTCTGCTTGAGTCGGTGCAGGTGCTTCATGATGTCGCTAAGTTCCTCCCATATCTTCCCGGAGAGAGACATTGAATCCATGCGTTTCCCTAGAGCTTAAAGCAAGGGTTAACCCTGGGTATGCACACTGTCGTCTTTGTACAACTTTCAGTATTTTTTTAATTACCATTTCGTATTCCTTTCCATATCTTCATTCCTCGCTGACCACCAGTAAGCCAACAACCCTGAACCCTAAACCCTATGTGTACATGCAATTGTGTTGTATAAAGCAAAAGTCTCTCGGACCCGCAGCGTCCATGTCATTTCTGTTTGATTCCCCCTCGACCCTAGGCGCTAGATAGCTGTAGAAAGCGTGTCATGTCCATGTGCATTCTCACCTCAAATGGTGGTTCACATGCAAAACAACACATGCTGGCTTAATTTCAGTTCCTGAAGCTGCCTTCAAAAAAGTAAAGTACCCTTCTACGTAAACGTAACAGACTCCTTTTGGGAAAGCCCCAAGTCCTCCAGATCCCGTCGACGTCCGAAAGCCCAAGGCCGAACCTAGCATACGTTGGCCTAGGTCTAACAGAGGCGCCTGGGTTTACTTTTTCCACCAAAGGGTTTTAGGGTTCAGGCGGTTTAAAGTTTGTCAGATTGTTTGGTGAAGGGGTTCAGGATTTGGGGACGTCACGTGTGTTTGGACCGATTCCTTCATTCGTGGCTGCAGTATGTCCAGTTGGAATGTAAGCTGGTGGTACATTTGCTAAAGCTACTTACGCTAAGTTCGCTGTTTATCATTCAGCTCATCACTCAGTGTAGGAACGATTTCGTGACGTCATCCCTATTGACAACACACCGGAAGCATGGAGGGCTCGTACGGCGAATCTTGGGTAGTCTTGGCTTTTGGCAACGCTGCCATGAGGGCATTGAGCAGGGCCTGAATCCGGGAGAAATCTCGTATAGTAAGCCCGTTGCAAAAAGGGCTGAGGGTTTAGGATGCCTGGAGATCCACTCAGGGTTAGGGTGGAGTATTCCTGAACCTCAAGCGTCACTTTCGGCATCTGAAGATGCAATCCTGAGCACTTGTGGCTTCAACAAGTGCATATGCAATGGCAGGGGTCGATTCAAACATCGCTTTGGTCTGTCCTAGCGGCGGTCCTAGCGGCTAGCCCATACATAACCCCACATGGCAGCACCAATCGCAACCGTTCTGAGATCTCGCGTGGCCTGTAGAAGCTTGACATTTTTGTTGGTGAGTCGATACTAGACGATAGACGTACTTGCCTTCACATTCTGTCTTCCGGATTTTTTGGATGCGGGGTCCTTCTTGCTGCAATCCTACCATGGGATTGTGCAATATTGGGATTTGTTAAGTAGACCCTGAAATTGCGATGATGATGATGATGATGATGATGATGTGTTTTCGCAAGCGTGGGGGGGAGGGCGCAATATGGACCCCAATTAATTGGTTGTAGTCTTTTCTATAGGATCCTCCAAAAGGATTCGGACCCTTACTTACGGAAATCCCCACTTACAAGCTTTTGCAGTGATGCTGCAGGCCGGCATCGAACACAACGGGCGCCAAATCCCAAGCTCGCATTTCTAGTGGCTGCCATTACAGAGGACTGTGGAGTACTTGAAGCTGCTGCCTCAACAGTCAGACCTGCATGAAAGCTTTGTCTGCCGATTAATGCGATGTGGCTTCCCACAGTAGCTTGATGTTTGTGATGGAAAACCTTGCACCACCCAAGTCAGGTACGCGACATCGTAGGAAGAACCGTAGGTTAGGAGGCCATGTAGTTGTGCAAGAGTTCCTCCATAAGCAGTTTCTACCTGCAGTCACAAGTACAGCGATCAGCCAAGACATTCAGGCTCCATCCTTGATCTCGCAGAGTTTCTTTACGCTCGGGCCCCTGGTGTAGCAAGCTTCTGGACACATACGATGGAAATCACGTGGCGTCATCATATAGCCAAGCATACCGCGACAAGGTCGCCAGACAGGATTTCTGTTAGGGTCCGATGTAAAGGGCTCTAATGGGGACCCTGAACATGGAATCCTAAGAATATATTAGGAATATAAGTCTGATTCACTAAGAAGAGGACCCTGGTAGGTACATTCTTATCATATTCCTATCCTGTTCTTTCGGCTCCTTGTTTGGGGTCTTCATTAGAGTAATTTCAGCTTGGCTGTATGAAGGAAGCCCATCACATAGGATAGTCATGGCTGCGTTCGTGCTGCGTTAGAGTGACGATTGAAGGTATTTCTGGTCCACAGACGGGGAATGATGACCACACAAACTGGACAGGTATTTAAGGGCCTGAATTATCTTACCGTTATAATCAACCCGTATGATCTACTACATATTTAGGTCAGGGAGACCACGGCAACTTAAGTCAAGTTCCTCCATTCAACCCAGCACAGTCTAGGCAGTCCTTAAACACCTGCGGGGCACTCGGAAGATAGCTCATTCGCGTGCTGTCTTCCACATGCTCACATTTTAGGTAAACTTTCCGCTGCCCCTCAACTTTACAGATTTGCCGGGACATCGGCTTTTGGGATATGATCAGAATTTTGCCCCCATACGCTGACAGCCACCTTTCTAGGTAACTTTGGGCATATGTTTGCAGACGGACTCGTAGTAAAGACAGGTGCTGGACTGGGATTGAACATCTAGACAAACTTGTTTGGGCCCTTTTTTCAAGCATGGCATTCAAAGTGTAGAAGGCGCACCCGGTAAAGAGACACAAACCCTACTCCTGCTTCGACGCAAGCCGATTGGAGAAGGCATGCTGTCTACAGACGCTACGTACTCTAGACTGCTAGGGAGCATAATGCTTTGACTTCAACGTGCGGCAGTTTGAAAATGCTTTTTTCCAAACGGGGACACTGTAGGGACCTGCATCATAGTTCAACCTACTATTGGTAACTAGTTGGTGCCAGAAAATCTCCTGGTCCGTCCAGCCACCTCATCCTGCTTTCGTTTTGCCAGATCAGGTCTCTCCCGGCAATCCTACACTCCTCGTCTCGACGTAGTTGGCCTGACGAAAAAAATCAGTCAGTCGTAAACTGTTCTGAAGCTTTCAGCCCAACCCTGCAAAACGTTCGACCATGCTGCATGCACAGCCACTCTATCTCTGCCCAGGGATGCTTCGAGGTGGATGACGCCTCAAAGCAGGGCTCCAAGTTTGGGCTTGAAGGAACATTGTGTTGTACGGGTTTGGATGTTGGATTCTGCTGGGTGGAGGTCTGAGGTCGATCTCTGTCTTTTTCGCTTTGGATGGTAAGCAGCTGAGCAGCTCTTAGCTCCATAGTGCCGTTTCCTTGCATGTTCACAGCCATCCTGAAGTTCTCCGAATGAAATGATTGACATGGTTTTTGGCAGCATCTCAAAAGCAAGGCCCCCCTGCGCAGCCTGCGAAGCCATGGCAAAAGCCACTAAAACGAGGCGAATCTGCTTGTCTTTCCTCATCACTGCCACCCAGCCAATCCTAAGAATTCTTCATGAGCACTTCAGCACGATGCGCAATTTTTGCGGCACCTGCGTCGTGGACTGTGTACCTCCAAAGAGATCGCTAAACTCCATGCTTTGCGCAGTGCCAGGCTTGTATGACGAAAACGTATATGTTGAACTTGTAGAGCCCTTGTCCCTGCCCTTCTTCTTATAGATGGTTACTGGGTGTTGGAAGTACCAAACTTATGCCTCAACCAAATTAACAATCCACTGGCGGTTAGGCGCCCAATCTGCGTGCTGAACACAGACAACCTCCCCTTCAATGGGGATGCCATCCGTGGCCACGTGTGCGGCTTGGGCAGAGTTAGGTCTATGTGCCTGGTAGGTTGTGAAAAGGATGATACATTATGGTGCATTCTGTAGACTAGGGCCCTGTTATCATGGGGTATAAGGGCATGGGATATAATGGGGACTCACAACCCGCCATGTCAACATTGCTTCACTACAGCAAGGCTTTCACATTGCCAGCATTTTGGTGGAATTTTCGGGAGCATAGAAGGGAAGACTTACATGTTGTGGGCGGATGCAGTGGGTGCGCTTGATCAGTGGTACGTCACGGTTACGTTGTAGGATTGTTGCCTCAGCACAGCTCAAATAAGTGGTGCACCATGGCCCTGTGTTGGTGCAAAGCATGCGCTCACCCCAGCTACCTGCACAAGACCTGAATGTGGGCCATGTAGTGTGGTTTAAAGAGTCTCATCATTTAAAGGAGTGGTAAGTGGTGCAGGCGGAGGAGCCCCATCAACGTGACTGGCATAGTCACATGCTGACGGGTTTCAAGGGCTTGGGTTCTAAGAACTCCCCGAGGACACGAAAGGGCATACCCCCTGCAAGCCTCATTGTCAGCTTTTCAGTAGCATGCAGCTTAAAAGCGCATCAGGTCAGTATCAAAATCTCTCTCCCCTCAGTAATGCTTGTGAATGCTTGTGAGTTACAGCATGACATTTCTCTGCGTTTCTAGGATTTTTGGGTCCCAGCCTTGAAGACTACGCCTTTTGGTCTATCAATGCATTTTTCTCAAAACATTCTTATGTAATCTGTGATGAGCTTTTATAAAGGCCGTGTCGCATTTCTCTCATCTCGAGAAGCACCTAGAAACCCATCATCTATCGTTGTTTAAATCAGGTTCTGTTTGCGTTTGGCATGCGGACATGATGACCCCACATGATTTCTGTTACGTTTGCGGCTTGCTGAAGTCAGGAGTTTTTTGCGGCATGTACTTGATACCTGTGCAGAAAATGCAGTCTGCCCCCATTCCTCCATTTCACTTAGCGGGCTTGACCAAGAATTGTGCTGTAGGTTTGCAGCTGCGACTTCACGCAGGGGGCGCCCAGGCTGGAATGTGGCCGCATGAGCAGTGCGTAGGACCATGGGCAAACAGTGCAAAGCTGCAAGGAGCAGTTGAATAAATGCCTGTGCTTCGGCATGTCAGGCTTCTAGAATGGATAGACGAGCTCAAAGAAAACAGCCACCTCTGAACACCCTAAGCGAAGCCCGTTGGCCCTGGTCCCTAGACCATCAAACCTTAACGCACCACCTCTGCCTGACACCCGAAAGCATGTACCCGAAGCCCTAGACCCTCAAGACCAAGCTTACAATTATGCAGGGTCTCAGTTTCCTGAATTTTCATATCCTTAACCAAAATATTCTCCCAACGATCCCACCCCAGACCCTAACTATTTGTACTAAGCCTTATACCACACCCAATCTTAAGAGCCGCACCAATAAACCTAAACCTTACCCCCTACATGATCCCTAGGTACCCTTATTGGGGTACCACATCCGTATATATCCCTGTGCAATTCCGAAGGGCGGCAGAGTTTGAAGCCTGGCTTGGCAGAAGAGCCAAGCACTTGGCGTGGTTCTTTCAGGGAAATCAGGGTTTTAGGGCTCAGAGTTTGGGGTTTGGGGCATCATTTTCTGGCGGACACAGGGAGCGTAAAAGGCTTTACTGGGTTTGTATGAATACGATCCGGGGTCTAAATTATGTTGTTCAATGTGTAGAGAGATGTTTTTACCACTGCAAAACGATACGGGGCACCCTAAAAAAGATACCTCCCAGACCTGCACAACGATACGGGGCACCCAAAGTAAATTCCACCATTACCACAAACAAGTAATTTCGACGCCAGCTCATATGGTATAGGGTACCTCAAAAGAAGTTGAAATTTCATACTTGTTGAAGGGTTTTTGGGTTTAGGGCTTCGGGCGTTAGGGTTTATAAGGGACGCTCGAGAGAGGATCTGACACTGCGTGCTTTTTATTTTTAAGTTCCTCCCTCCAATTAAACCGCGGAATGGACAACAAGATGGAAAGTGGAATTGGCACTGAGCTGAGAAGTGGGATTGTAGAAAGAGTTACTAGTGACTAGCAACTGGCGAATATTCCATTAACAGATTATGTGGGTCTCACATTGGGAACATCTATTCTTAGGAGGTGGCGGGTTGTATTTTTAAAGGGGGAGGGGGTTTAGGGTTTAGGGTTTGGGGACCACGGATTGATCAGAGAGAACCTAGCATGGACATCGCCGCAGCATTCTGGCCGAAAAGCTCAGCCCTTGTGACTTCGCATCCTGGAGACCAGCACATCCACACAATGGTTGACGTCAAGACGTGACTGGGTCGAATAGGGAGGTTGGTAAAAGTTTATTGGGATTATCTAGGGAATAGATGAAAATAGAATGGAAACTACTATGGTGCAGTGGTCAAAGTAATGGGTCTCTCTTGTGGCCCTTACATTTTTGGATCTTCATCTCTCGGGGGGTGTAACATGGCATGGTTGTCCTAACAGTGCTGACTCAAGGTTGCTGCAGGGCCGTGCATATGTGTCTTAGCCAGACGGTCCCCTGTTGGGGTTCCTTGTTGCATCCCCGATTCCAGAGCTGCATATGGGCTTGGTAGGGTTTAAGCTTTAGGGTTAGGGGGCGACTTGGTAACGCCCAGTCTTCGGCATATTCGTGGGCTTGACCATAGCCAAGTTCAGCTTAGCATAAAAAGCTTGAACCCTAAACCCAGCCCCAAACTCCAATTAGATATGCCACCATACAACCCCAGTTTCCATTTTATATTCCATTTCATTTTCCATTGTTCCTCTGCAGAATCTGGTCAAGATTCCTAAGCCCTTGCCTTAGAATTATATATATCGTAGTTTCCATGTTCTTTCCGATAGTTGTTATGATATAGCTCTATATAACTCCTTCTGACCCCACATAGTCCGGGTGGTTGTCAAAATTATGGTCCCTTTTTGGATCCCTATTATAAAACGGCACCTAATATTTAGGGTACCCAAAAAGGACCATAATTTTGACAACCACCCATATCCCTCTATTCTCCTTGGCCCTTGGCAGAAGAAGTATCCTCAGGCAAGCCGCGGCCTTCATTGCCGTGACCGTGCAGCGTGCCTGCCACAACTCCTTCATTGAGCTCCTTGGGCTTGAGATAGCCAGACATGAGCAGCGTTTTTTTTTTTTTAACGCTTAATCAATTATGAATTCGTACGACGCTATCGTCTCCAGTTCGTGTCCGAAAATGAGGTTTTCCTGTGCGCGCGGAAGGACGCGGAAGCTCCGCGGAAGCGTTTCTTCGCGGAAGGCTTGCGGAAGCTCATGTTTTCAG